AACCTGAAAACCTACAATCTTGCCTAAAACAGGGGTAGTGAAATTCATGGGATCCCAGGGTCAGTCCTGGCTACCCCTGGTAGGCCACACAGCAAAATCCTGTGAACAGTAGCAACACGCTCCAAAATAAGTGCTCTGTCAACATAATGTGGTAGCAAACCACTATCGACCCTTTAAAAAGGACAAATTTGGCTGGAAAACCAACACAGAATCTTGGGACTACACATAGAGTTCATTTCTACCTTTAAGGGTTGGTAAACTAGAATTTTCTCCATCCTTAATTTATTTTATAGTCATAATTTTGGTATGTTTGAAACAATGGTCACTTGGGACAACACAGTCACTTATCACAGAGTTATTCAAACCTTAGCAGCTGCAGTCTCCTAGTCAATATGGCAGATTTCCTTCAGATCAAATTGGGTTTGAAATGTCTAGAACCTCTGAGAAAGATTATCTTTCTTGCAATTTAAAAAATCCCCACACCTGAACTGAAATCACCTGCCCCCCTAAAAAAAACCCAAGACCTTTTAAGAATTTAAATAGCTGTAATATATAACCATATAATTTACCTGCACCTGTTCATTTTCCAAGCAGCCTTTTGACCAATTCCAAAGTCCTTTTGAATTTATTTACAGATTTCAAAAGAAGGGTCTTTCTTTCCCACAAGGTCATATTACATGAGTAACCGCATGATGTGACTATTATATCAAAGTATTTCTTTTGTCTCTCAGGAAACACAGAGCAGCCATTTTGGTAGAAAAGAACAGACTGTTTTGCAAGACTTCAGAGGCCTCTCCCCAGATAATGTAGACACAACCTAAACATCCTCAACTTCCCTATTAATACAAAGAAGCATGCCACGGTTGGGAGTTTAGACCAGTGATTATCAAATAGTACAAATGCAGCCCATTTTAACACCAGTAGATCCACTTTGCTTTTCTGCCCTGAGAAGTTATCAGGTCAAATTCGGCTACACATTGAGGCACACTATGAAGAACTAGGACACATAAGCCAAACTAGTGCCACATTCTGCACTGAAGAATCTTAGGTCCTACACTATACGCAGAGAGAGAGAGAATATCAAGGGCTTGAGCCTACAAGGATGGGACAAGCATGGAACTGCCATATTTTCCTATGCAATCATGAGGGATAGGGTGATTAGGTTTGTTCTGTCAAATTGCCCGAGTTCCAATTCTAAGCAGAAGCCTTATGAGATGCCAAGAGGTTTGACTACAGAATCAAGTAACAATTACCATTCAGCCTCTCCTGAGCAGCTTTACACGTGTGTTTCCAAAATACAACATGTGACGTGTGAATCGTATATAAAAATCTTTAAAATATTAGTGTATACATGCTTGAATGCTTGCAGCAATAACTATGCATTCATATTTGATTTTTAACTTGGTCTCCCAAAGCCACTTTTTTCCTACCAGTAACAAATGCTACTATACTTGGTGGTGGTGATAGTGGCACATCTCTATCCTGCTATCTCAAGCAAACTGGAATGGTACATGATTCTTTTATCATCCCCTTTATCTTCACAACAAGTCTGCAAGGTACATTGGGTTTAGTGGCAATAATTGGCACAAGATTATGCAGTGACTTCATAACTGTGTGGGACTTTAAACTTAGGTCTCTCTTCTATCACTGTAAACACTATACAGTACTATGTGCAACTCTATAAAATTAATGCCAGGACATGAAATTTGTAGGCCGTGAAGCTCTGCTTGTGACAAAACATTCTAATTTCACATCATTCGTGTGTATGTGCGTGTGTGCGCGTGCAGTGTTTGCTTCCAAAAAGATGGTGCTAATTTTGAAAAAAAGGTGACCAGGGTTCAAATTCCATTCTCAACCATGGCCAAATCATGAGCTTTTGTTATATTACAGGGAACTGTCAGGTATCTAGAAACATTGACCGAAGGGCATGTCACTCTACACTTAAGGGAACAGCACAGCCAAGAAAGCATGCAAAGCGGGATTATAATTAGATTCACAAATGATTGAAAAAATAACTCAAGAACATGTCAGCCTTCATGAAATATAATATACAAAAGACATTTACAAAATAAATTAGCTATTACTGTTGCTGCACTAGCTTCACAGACCAAGTGTTTAAGCCATATGTTATGGTATTTTTATAGTGATTTCTAATACTTAAAACTATAGGATCTTCTACTTAATCCCAATTCATATCAGAGTAATTTCATGACTGAAGATTTAGATGACTTATATTTCCAAGCTAAGATTGCCACTCCTCATACTTTTTCTAACAAAAAGATGATGAGTCAAGGGTCCATTAGAAATCCAGTCTTTCATACTGTACCTAGCCAGCAGCAATTTCTTCTATATATTTGTATTTTAGCCTGTCTTGGAAATCCCAAAATGCTCTGCAAAAAGGTCCTAATAATCACCCATCCAAGCACTGATGAAGTTCACATTCACATACATTGAACAATAATGCAGTGTCTGGTCCTCCAAAATCATTGCCTGAATCCTTTGTGTTTATGTTTGCAACCTTCATTTCAAAGATGAAACATACACAAAGAGAATCTTAAGACATACCTGGCATCACAAACATGCTGACGTCCCACACCTTGGATGATTCTTTTATCTCACAAAAGGCCTAGTGGGATTTGTATCTATCCTCCCTACCACAAGAGTTCTCCAAAGCAGCTTTCATTTATTACAACTCACCAAAATGCATCATGGAGAAAATGTTTTATAGCTCCTTTGAAAGCTGTCAATGATCTTGGCAGATGGAGCTGAATTTTTGCTGTGATATATCCTGGCTGCTCTTGCTACTGCTGTGAAAGGAAGATTGTCTTTAAAATGCTTCTCTCGTACCCATCCTTCCAGCAACCTCTGGCACCACAGCCCATACCGCCTGCTGCTTTTTCTAAGGAGGTGATAAATGCTTCTTCCTGAGGTCTTCAAGCCACTTTTTTCCAGCCACTTGTCACTGTCCCATACTATGCTATCTAGGTGTGTAGATATGCCTGCACACCCATGCTGTGTTTTGCAGTTGTCCCTCTTATTCAGCATTTGCAGTCCCTGTCCCACATCCATTCTGGACAGTTCGGTGAAGCCACTGTCTCTTTATCTGGTTCCTGGCACAGAAGATGCTCCAATGAATTACTAGCATCTTGAATAGGTCAGAAGGAAACTGGCTGTATATGGCAGCCATAAATTTCTTAAGGCATTTTTCTTGGGATATCCTCATCTGGAGAAAAGCTAGGACAGTCTAGCACATGTTTCATAAGCATCAGAAGTAAAAGGGAAAGCAGGCAAACCGTAAGTCATGCTTTGTTATATTCTATTAAATATTTTTGTGGCAAGGCACCCATGTTTTATATCTTTATTTCTAAACTGTACTAAGTGCATCCTGCATCGCTTTATGTGGTTAAATATAATATGAAAATACTAGAATTGTCCTTTAGCTGGCATGTACTAGCTATTTTGTCCTTACATACAAATGTAAGTTAAACATTTTTTCCTATGCTCCCAAAGTTGTTACAAAAGTTGATTTGCTCACTTCATTGGCCTGGAAGAATCCCAAAAAGGATGAGGCATACCTAAATATATTCAGATGGGGACAGAAATGTATTCCACCAATGCAGATTCAGGAATGGAATATTTAACGATAACCTCAACTACTTATATATATTTCTATATTTAGACACAAAACTTACATAATGCTTGGTAGCATAAACTCTTTACATTGTTTAGATACAAATACATAAACTATAAAAACAAAAATAGGTTACAAACCAACAAAACAGAAAAAGGTGACTACTAGTCAGGAAAAGACTAAGCAAACAAACTTATCTTTAAGAGATGTCAACAGCTTGCCTGGACCACACTGTCAGAAAGCATTTCAGAGATGGGGTGCTACTACCAAAAAGGCCAATTTATGTGCTGTTACTTGATGACATACTGTTGGTCATGGGATGACCAGTAAAACCTCCTCGGACAGTCTCAAGGATCAATTTGGTCTACATAGAAGAAGACAACTAGGAAGTATCTTGAGCCCTCCTGTTGGAAGAATAGCGACCCACAGCCTCCCAAATTCACAATTCAAATTTGGTAAGCAAATATAGAAATATTTGGCCAAAAGAAGTATTTGAGAGAAGATATTTGTTAGTACTTTTGGTCATTTTTGTAGTAATAGGCTGGCATAATATAATGGGTAAGAAAGTGATGTATAAACCACAAAGTACCCTGTTCAACTCTCACTTCAACTCTGAACCCAGTGTGCAGTCTCAAGCAACCCATGCAATCTCAGCACTACATCACACAGTTTTTACGAGGTTGACTATCAGACACAAGGGAGAGAAAACATTACATAAATACTTGTATTGCCATAGCTTAAATGCTTATTTATAAATAAGCACTTCTTTATGGTGGTATTGTTTTCATTTTATCTTTTTTAAAGATAAATATCTAGCTATTAGATATTTACTTAGCTGAAAGAACTGCTCAGAACTGTTCCCTTTATGACAACTTACTTCAATTTAATTTTAAATCTCACAACATGAAAAGTTGCAGTGGATCAACTCAACTTGCCAAGTATCCTAAAAAGTGCAAAGGTTGTCAGTTCCATTCAATCTAGTCTGCAGGAGGCTGATTGGCATGTAAAGGATGCATTATCCTGACCGTTAGGACATATTCACCATCAGTACATGGAGTCCTGGTTTTGCACATGTGGACAATCCTTAACTGAAAAAAGATTTTACTGCTTCTGTAATCCTTGGGTGATGACAGCTTTCTGCTTCATTAACTACTCATTTTTATCACATTTTTCCCTAGAATGCATGGCAATTTTCTTCTCTTTAGCATTATTACTATGTTTCTAAAATCCCTCTATGTAAATTATACCTTTGCTTTAAGATCAACCTTTGAGGATGCGTGCAAGCTGAAAAAGCAATCTCTTTTACAGGTAGCATTCAGAGAATGAGCTGGAGAAACAATCTTGCTCCAATTAGAAGATTCTAATTTACCTGGCTCCAACAATGAGTTGATTCCTATTGGCATCCAGAGCAAGCTGAGAGAAATCCCGTACACCTGTATACGTGAAATTTGAGACCCAGGGCTTCAGATCTATGAAGAAAATTAAAAACGAGAAATAATAACACTGTATGATAAGCAAGAATTTATCCAGGATATTCAGCTAATAGATTTTTCTGCTAAGTAACTGTCCAAAGTATATTTAATATTCTGTTAAAGGACCTTTTGATTTATTTCAGGTCTTGCCAATATGCAAACCACCATAAGCATGGGGTAGCTTCAGAAATTAGTTTTGTCTTTTACATGGTGAACAACTTTAACAGGATTAGCAGTAGCTTCAGGCCTAACAAGGTCTATGCCTGCCCATCTCAGGGGTGATCCCAACTTAACATTTTTTTTTTCTTTTTCAAATTGCACTGAAGGAAACTTATGTGAGAACACACATTAAAAACCCTAAACAACCTGTAAACCCAAACATAAAATCTGATTCTGTGAGAGGTGAAAGAACAGGAGAAGTAGGTGGACAGAATAAAGGAAGTGAGGTAAGGACTTGCTAGTGAGCCTTTTCAGAATGGAAGAGGGAATGAATGTAGTGAGCCAAGCTTCTCCTTCCAAGCAATATCAGTCTCACCAGCAATTTTTTGCTAATAATCTTTTATTATTACATTCAAGTCTCTGAGAATACACAGTGACATACTGAACCCTTTCTGCCATTCATTACACAAAACTCTCTTTATGAACCCTTCTATGTCTCATGCCTGGGGGATGGGCGTTGTGAAAGCTGGCACACCGTTGCTCCTCCCATTGTTCCCCCAGCTGGACCTCTGATGATGACATCTAGTGACTGGGTCTACCTCTTCAGGAGGCGGGAGTCCCCATCAGAAAAACTACCCATTTCAAAGCCTCCTCCTTCGGCTTGCAACGCCTCCCTGTTCCATGATTGAATGGATTGGTCCCTTCATCTGTCCTCAGGCTAATCTCCCCACAGCTAACTCCTGTGCAGTCTCAGGACCTTGAACTGCAGCTGGGGTTTGAACTGTCTCAAAAACAATCTCTCCTTCAGAATCTGAGCTGTGAGACCCACCCAAATGAATAGCCTCCCATGAACGTGCCCGAAATCTGACAGCACATGCACGCACAGTAAGTAGGGTGGGCCTTCCCCCTTCTGTCCTCTCCTACAAATTCCCCTCCTACACAACTTGGACAGTAGGGTACAGATCAAGTAGTAATATATTTTCATACGATTTTCTAACCTAATCAACTGATTTGAAGAAGGATGGGAATCCCTTTTTGTTACAATGGGATTTCAGTAGATATAGCTTTCTGGTCATGCAAATAAAAAGTGGGAGAGTGTCCTCTCAAAATAAAGAGAAGGAGAGGGAGGAGGAGGGGAGGGAGGGCATATGAGCCATTAAAGGGCTACTATTAAGCATCTTTATCTAAATATCTAATTGCCACTTTTTGATGTTAAACATTCAGCAACATGTAGCTGCCCTACATGGCACTTTTGAGCAAAGTTTCATTGAAAACAGCTTCAAAATCTTAAACGTTTTGAAAATTAATAGACATTTTTATACTATTGCCTGATTCTCCAGTTAAAGACAGCCCTGAGTAGGCTTACTTAATGGGAGCAGACTAAACTAGCCCTGAATTATTCTAGCAGAGGAAAGGCTACTATGCAAGACCAACTTCCTACAAAGTCACTGAAAGATTTAAGTCTTCAATTTATATGTGGCACAACTTCCCAATCCTTGAAAAGGTGATCAATGAGTGTACTAGAATAGCAAAATATACCAGCACAACATGACAGCCACCAGTACACCAATAAAAGTGTAGTAAATAATTCCCCGTACTACCATGGTGAGAATCAAAATGTTACCACAGATTCTATATGTTCAACCATCTACACTTCTTTGTATTAAAATATAAATCTGAGAAGGGAAAAGGAAAGGGAAATGAGTTCAGAACAAATGTGAATTTTTCAAGAAAAAGCAAGCAAACAAATAAACAAATTTTACATCCCTGTGAATTTGGTTTTCACTGTCTGCATGTGTTTTAAATGGGTATTCTTCCTTGAAAGAAAAAAATCAGTCCAAACTATACTAACATTCAAATGTAGATAAGTATTTACATATGTATTTTTAAACATGTTTATCTCAAAGCAAGCATTTCTTACTATGCTTTTCCCCAAGCTGAGAGCTATGTAGGAAATGCAAAATCCAATGGATACCAAAAGTTCTCCTCTGCTCATTAGTCTAGTTTATGTCATAATTTGCAATGATCAAACTAATCAAGTATTGCTAATTCCAGTTCAAGAGGTGTTGGGAACAAAAAATTCCTGAGAGGCATCCAAAATACTTTTTCTTCTAATATAGCATTTCATCCCTAGAATAAAGACTCTTCGAAACTGTATGTTCCCTATAAATATTTAATTATTTATTTAATGAATTTATATGTTGCTACAATAGCCATATCTGGGCTCTGAGTGGCTCAGTGTATAAAAATATGAATCAATCATATAAGAAATCAGAAAATATGAATCATCCATCTATTTTATCTCAGGTCAGAGCTTCTCCAGTAATTCAGTGTGTGTGTGGGTGTATGTGTGCATGTGTGTGTATATATATGTCAGGGAGCGGGGGAGAGAGAGTATTTCCAAGATGACCAAAACTTATACTCTTTGGGTGAATTGCAAACAGTTAAAATGAAAGAAAGTATCAAAGAAAGGATTAAAAATATAGCATAGCAGTGTAATTATTTAAAATTTTAGAAAGTGCAATGCTAAAGAAACAGTAATTGTTCAAACTGCTATAAAACTCTGGAAGAAATTCTCTAAAACACCTGCGATTAAAAAAAGTTCTTTTCCTGATGCTAAAAAGATAACAACATAGGCACCAGGTGAACTCTTTTGAGAGTTCACTCCTTAAATGAGGTGTCACAACTGAGAAAACTCCATCTCTTGCAGCTGCCAGTCTAGCTTCCTTCAGCAAGAGCTCCCTGTTCCTCTCAAAAAGAGACCCCCAAAATCCAGGGATCACCTTGCAGCTAAAGTGTGCAGTTTAAGAACTGGCATCCTGCTGTCTTCTCAGGTTCCATTAATGCACAAAGCAAGAAACTCACTATAATTCAGCAAGGGCAATCTGAAAGCATCCTTTTCCTAGTGCAGCAGAGGGTTAGCAATCCACCAAAAGTGTTAGTAATGTGCAAAACTTGCAGGAAGTGCAAAAATGTCACCTCCAGTATTTTCCTCGCTAATGAACCCCTGTCTTCTTTAACATAGATCTTTGGCTTCATGAAATTTGTCTGAACCAAATCTATGGAAATAGTATGCTTCAGGCAGGTGAGCTGGATAATGCGTGCACTCCCCAGATGCCTGGGCAGTTATGTTCTCTGATAGGAGGGTCATTTTACAACAATGAACCCTTTTAAGAATGCTGGTCTGATGCTCTAATTTTCTCTTGTCATTTCCTTCCCACTTGAGTTTTTCCCAGCCTAACCCATTACAATGAGGTAGCAGAAAATATGAGATGTGTCTGCCTCCCTTTCTCTTTCTTACTTTTTTCCTTTCCACTTCTTCATCTCCAAACCCTGCTTCAGAGTTATCTCTTTTTCAATCACAAACACAGAGAAAATTGCAGGTAAAGAACTGTGGGGTGAAAAATATATGTGCTGCAGATAGCTCTATCCTTCTTATGATCATTTTAAATGTCAGTCAAGCCCAGGAAATAACAGGCAACTGTCTTGATTTCTATTTACGACTGCAGGTGGCAGAACATATAAAGAAAGCCTTTCCAATTATTAAATTAAAGGCAGGGAGACATGCATCTTCATAGCAGAATTCAAGCCTTTAAGGCCACATAGTTGGCAAATGATTAAACACAGCATGCTCCTCTGCACTAAGATCTAACCATCACTCAACCAGAATTATGCTGAACTCTTCTACTGACCCTACTGTACCCGCACCTTTCTGTAAAAGGAAGGGCGATAACAAGGGGGAAGAGCAACCGAAAAAGTATTTCGGGTTCTTTTCATTCACCATAATAAATTGTATCAAGTTAAGGTCACAGGCATCCCCAAGGGCACCACACAGCTTTTATCCTAAAGAATGTGCCATAGAAACATATGAAGGTAAGTACGTTATTACGCCTGCTCCACATTAGATGGAGTTTGCTTACATTTGACTCTTCTTGGAGAGCTGACTTTTCTCTTTTACTTTTTTCCCCTTGTTGTGCTTCGCTTCAGAGCCATCTCTTTAATTTTGGCTAAAAGCCCTCAGAAACCAGACCATGTTTACATTTGCAAATGTATCTCTACATAAACACCATGAAAAATTTAAACTGAAAAAGACCCCCAGCTTCTGCATCACTGGAAGCAAAGCAGGAAATCTAGAAATGAACACATTCAGGACCAATCATCAAGGCCTCCTTTATGCTTTGACTCCCCAAACTTTGCCCTTCAGAGGGGAAAGAACCACATTTTCTGTCCTTGCTCAAAAAACTTTAAAAAAATGCATTAGTTTCAGACAACTACAAAACGAGCACCATGATCCAGGTTTACAACATCCCTCTATAGGTCAGACAGGCTGTATAGAAAAGGCTCTAATTTTCAAATACTTTCAACTTTCATAGAGAACTGTCTTTTCTTTTATAGAAGAGAACAAGATAGTGATAGTAGCATGGGCAACTCCGTGAGGCTAAGCCAGTGCAGTCTTCCCCAACCAGGTGCTCTCCAGATGTTTGACTACAACTTCCACTATTTCAAGCTAGTAGGGCCATTGCAAGTCCAACTCATCTGGAGGCCACCAGGCTGGGACAGGCTGGGTAACCATACTGGACTAGAACTGGGAAAAACCATGTCCAAGTCGTCACTCAACCGCGAGTCAGCCAGCCATTTTTTCTTTGCATTAACTCATCACAGATTTGTGCCAGGATAATCTGAAGAGGTGAAAGAATGATGTACATCATGCTGTGAATTTATTAGATAAAGGACAGGATACAGATGTGAGAAATAAACACTTGTCAGTCTTCTAGGCAGTTTTGTCAGTCAATCCTTTAGCCAAAAGCCTTGTATAATGCCTGCCTTTGCTTTCTACT